ATCTTTCTTATTAGTGGATGTCCACACACTCCATTTTTTAAATCTCTAACTTTTGTTCATACATTCACTTGAAATCTAAGCTATCAAAAAAATAAAACAAGTCCCACCATTTACCTGATGAGCATTTAGATATCTAGTTACCTAGGAATATAACTGGAATGCAACTATCGATAGATTACAGTAGAAAGTCTAGCACTAGTACTGTGATGACATGTTAGTGGTTTATGAGATGCTTTATTTAATTCAGTTTACAGTGAGGGCAATAAGCATTGTGTTCCACTTCATTTGTTTCTGATGTGTCTTTTCTTTTTTGATTTTAGATTGTGCTGCCTCCTCACCTAGAGAGGATACGAGAAAGACTGGCAGAAAATATCCACGAGCTCTGGGTTATGAATAAGATAGAACTTGGCTGGCAGTATGGCCCGGTATGTATTTTGAAATTTATTTGCAGACTCCGTCAATACATATTTCTGAAAACTTTTTGTTACTCACTGCTTTGTGATGACATGGAACAGTTATATTGATTTTCCCCTCCACATTAGTTTCTGTGCAGTTTTTCTTGACTAGAGGGAATGACATTGCTGGCAGGTGCATTGAAAAATAGTTTACTTACCTCAACAGTTGAAAAATTATCGGCCTTCAGCTGAAAGTTGTATTTTTAAATTGAGTTTAACATATACAGACAATGCACATTGATTTCTAAGCTACTTAGAAAAAAATCATCATTGAAATTTCATGTGAAAACTGAACGAGGAAGAAAAAAATCATTGTCCTTTTCTCTTTGGTGTTTCTACGACTTTTAGTGTCAGTGACGTGCAGCAGCAAGAGTCAGGGTTCCAGCTCTTGGCAGGGTTCGCCATTGGCTTCATGAGTGAGAGAGACAGCGAGAGATAATGATTGCCTCCGTTTCCCAATATGTATCGATAAATACAGATAAAATTTCAATGACAAAACTAAAACAAAGCAGCCTTGTGGGGACGCCCAGAGTGTACATCCTGCTCCGTAGGGGGAGGGAGGCCCTGGTTTCACTTCTGAGTTAGTAGCTGTGTCCCTTAAGAAGACAGAAGACGCTTTTTTACTCTTGACTGAGGAGAGACATGAGTATATTCCTCCCAGTGTCATAGCACATCGGACTGTAAGTGTATTCAGATATAACGCAGTACAGTGATCGCACGATCTTCTGCACTCGCGTGTTTCCGTAGTCGGAGCTGTGCCTTTTCACATGCTCTCTGGCAGTGTGCTGCTTCCTTTTCCATGCCAGCACGCTGAGTTCGTGCAGTTGTTTCAGTTTTTCCAGTAGCCCCGTGGTGCTATGCTACAGTGACCTGCAGCCGTCTCAGAGCTGGTGAACAGAGGTGTGGCGGGCCGTGGTGCTCTCGCTCTGGCCGGCCGTCACGTTCCACTATAAGTGGGGTCTTGTCACCAACTTGGCAACAGACACCTTTCAAATTGGAAGATACCTGTGAAGTGACTAGTTTTGTGCTCTTTTCACTGACTTTTGGAAGCTGAAGGAAATGTATACCTGCTAAGTGAAAGATTTAGCCACCAGTTGAAGGGGGTGGTAATAGATATTATAAATGTGTCCATAGTCCGTTGCTAGAGATATTACTGATGAAATTCACCATAGGATTCAAGTGAGGGCAATATTTGAATTATGGATAACACATACCACATATTTCAAGATGTTGGGAAAGATGTTTGCAGGACGATTCCACGAAGCAAGAGTCAAGATTTTATACAAACAAACCCCTATAGAAATAACAGAACCTGTGTACGAGGCTTAGCCACAAGAAAATGGTCTCCTCTACAAGCTCATGCGCTCGGCTAAATGATTATATTCTGCAGTGAAGTCATGTCTTGTTTGCTTCTTTCAAAAATTAGGAGGATATAAAGTCGCATTAAGATACTAACGAATAGATACATTCTGGTTAAATTCAGTCCAGGCCAATGCTCTTACTCCTCCATACTAACTCCTTAGTGCTGCTTATGTGGAAGTCATGCCAACCCTAAGAGAGGACACAGCGCTCATCCTCTTCCTCCCCGGCCATCACGTGCTACCCTTCACCTGCCCGACGCTGGTGCTTTATCCCTGCGAGAGTTGAGCTCAAACATGGGGCCGCAGCTGTGGGGTCTGGCCTTGCCTTGGTGACAGGAGCATGTTCAGATATTTGCTGATGGAGCAACACAGGTGTTTGCTTAGGACCTATTTTAGGGACGGATCCATCCAGGAATCCTATCAGAGATTAAGTTGGGACAGTGTCAAATGCACCGTGCGGGAGTCATTTCATCTCCTCTGTTGAAGAAGTGTTTTTGTTTGTTTGTTTGTTTTGCAAAGAACTTGTTTTCCTTTGAATATTTTCAGAGTATGTTTCACAAGAACACCATTCAAGATCATTATTTTATAGAATAGCATCAAGTCTCAAAGGTGAAAAAACAAAAACAAAAACAAAAAAAAACTCAACATTTAATAAGTTTGCCTTTTAGGAGTTTCCAATTTAGTTAGTTGCAGACAATCACGAACTGAAATCTGCTACGAAGGGATTTCTAGGTTTCTGTAGAGAATCTGCGAAGGCTTTCAGGAGGAGGTAAAGATTCAGTCGAAGACATTTAGTGCGAGTTAACAGCAGTCGGGGAGCAGGAGGGTGTCATGGGCAGGGGCCGTGGCATGTGTGTGGGCAGGGACACCTGCAGTGCCCTGACCAAGCTGGACGTCGCCGGGGTCAGGAGCGGCAGTCGCAGCGCCGAGGAGGGGCGGCGGTCTGGCCAGGTGGGCAGGAAGCCGGATGCGACACAGGGTCGTCGCAGAATGTGGTTTACACTGCAGAGGGGTGAAAAGCACTGAGGCATGTTCAGGAGGGAGAGCGCATGCTGCAGAAGGACAGTGAGCTGGGAGAGAGGCAGAGGGTGGGGAGACGGCCAGACACAGATGACGGCCGCGAGCTTCCGGCTGTGTGCTGAGCCGTGGACACGGTGCGGGAGACGCTGCCGAGCTCGAGCTCAGGTTGCGGGAGGAGGAGAAAGGACGTCCAGGCAGGTTTCTGGCTGTCACTGGACACGTGGGGGTGGTGTCGGTTACTCCGCTGCACAGACTGGGGGCTGGGACAGCGTAAACGGAGACTCGGTTGGCAGGAGCTGGATGTGTTCATCCTTACTCCTGCATTTAGAATTTAGTGTGAAACCCCTACTTTTCACTTTCACGATGACACGGTCAAATAGTATCGAGAATGCAGCTTTTGATTAAATCCTTTTTATTTGTGAGGATCACCAGAAAGAGAAGAACACATCCCTTATTTTTCATGGACAACTCCTGAGGACATAAAACTCCTGCTGATGTTAGCATCCTTTTATGTGGCATTTATAGAACCTGGCAATTATTCTCATGGAGTAGTTTGTTCCATGACAGCAAATGGCTGTCGTTTAGGTGTCACTGAGACAGTAATGCCTATGTGATTTAGGTCTCCAAGAAAATAACAAACCTCTCTAATGATGCAGAGACACAGAACCTCTTTCTCATTCATTCATTCCTAAAATCTTGAATTTGGCTGAGTCTGATTGCTCATGTACATTTTAAGGATCAATAAGAAAATTCCAGTGTTGTTCTGACTGACTTGTTAAAGTAGTAGAATGATCACTGAGAGCAGGAAGTTACTTGCAGGGAGTGACATGAACAGCTGGAATCAGCTCAAAGTGCTACTGTCTGTGGTCACGGTACTGCTTGATGTCACGGATCCGTTTGATATAAAAATCACCGCACGTTAAGTTGCACAACACCCTTCTTACACAGATTTTATTTCAATGTACAAAACTGTTTCATTGCCTGCCACCTAGGTTGTAAGTGCTGGGGAGATTTCAAAGAACAAGAAACACCAAAATCCCTTCTTTTCCTACGACCCTGTGTAGGGAGAGAGACAGTAACCCAGTGAGTGAGGGTGGTCAGTGGTAACTGTCATGGGAGGGAAGAGACAAGGAGTGGGTCAGTGAAAGCGCGTGACATGAAGAAGGCGTGCAGGGTGAGCCTCCTGGAGAAAGTAAGGCTTACGCAGCTGCTGGAAGGAGCGGATGGGGTCACCCGCGTAGAGCAGGCACGAAGCTGGGGCTGCGGAGGGAAACACAGACGCCCCGAGAATGCCAGGTTTCCAGTCACAGGGCATGAGTGGTGCTTGCGAGATCACAGGGGAAGCTTTGTGGGGTGTAGGTCCGGCTCCCCCTTCCCTTCCTGCCCCCAGCATGCTCTCGCGTGTGCCTGCACCGAGACCATCACGCGCCGGTCCCCGCTCTGTTTCAGGTCAGGGATGACAACAAGAGGCAGCACCCGTGCCTGCTGGCCTTCTCCGGGCTGCCCGAGCAAGAGCGCGACTACAATCTGCAGATGTCCCTGGAAACCCTGAAGTAAGTGTCCTGCTCTATCCTGGGCTCCTCTGCCTTACCTGAAAGTACAAGAACATTGGGGGGGAGGGAGACACTTCTCGGAGAATTGCAGTTTTAGATATCGGCGAGTTTATGTCAGCTCTGGTTTGAACTTTTCATAAGATGTTAGTGGTGAGTGCATTATTTTTTGGGAACTGAATTTCCCCGTTATTTTATGTCTTCAGTTGCACTAATTTCTCGAAGCGTATTCTGCAGATGTCTGTGGTAATGATTAAGGACTGTGAGGGCTCTCAGAGGAGACAGTGCTTCTGAGGGCGCTGATCTTGGACAGGGTCATGGACCCATCACAAATGGTCACTGTTTATCACAAGATAGGCAGAGACATTAGGAGCAAATATTTAGGTAATTTTTTTTTTTAACAATGTGGTGATCCATTTTATGTGTACTTAACCTCATAATTTAAGAAATGTAGACTTATATTTTTGATGTCTTCACTTTGAAATTATTAGAGAATTAACAATTCTCTATTAATTTCATTGTATTTTATGAGAGAATCAGGCAGTAACGGACTAGAAATCAAAGAAAGTCGGTTCTCCACTATAATTTGAGCAGTGTTGCAGTATTTGCAAGATGCTGAGTTAAAATACTTTCTATTTGTATTGGTACACTTTCTGGAGCTTTCATGAAATCTAAAAACATCACTATTGAGTTGGCGCTCCTCAGGGAAGTGGCTTATTACTTTCACGAAGATCTAAGATGGGATGAATTTCATTTACGATATTTTCCCAACTGATCGAGCCATCACAGCCTTTTTTCGGAGAATACCTTGGGCCCGTACATATGAGGAGCACACGCTGACAAACCCGACGGCATTTACGCATCGTCTTGCAAAGGCAGACTTCCATTGCTGCCTTGGCGCCTCTCATCTGTGCAGATGAAAGCATGAGGTGGCTTCAGATAAAGGCAAAAGAAATAAATTCAAACTCTAATATAGAAAAATCTAGAAAATGTCTTTGTGAGGGAGGGTTAGCATTTCTGCTCCCTCGCTGAGCTTGACGGTCTATAGAACGAACGTGACCTGTTCAATTAGATTATTTATCCTAACACATGCCACATTAGGTCTGAAATAGTACTTTTGTTTTGATTTTACTACCAGTGAGGAATTATTTTCATTGCCTTATTTTACGAAGAACCCAGAATATAAAACTTAAACATTATTTTAAATTCTGTGATTTGGGTTCAGGTAAACATCTTCAAAGATGGGGTATTAATTATGGAAACATAGGTGGGGCATAAGGTAATTTCGGTTTTATGGTCACTGAAAAGGGAAAGGAGGGTATGCAAATGAAGTAATTCAAAAGCCTACTACAGGTGAATGATACCGAGTCTGAATGAGGAATGCCATGGCATAACCATACCCTGTCTGCTTCAAAGCCAGGAATGACTGTTTCCTGCTGGGGTCTTGCTGTGACGTCTGCTTAGCCTAGTAATTCTCAGCAGCATATCGTTTGCCCATCTTGTACAATAGAATCTTCTACTGAAAGGCCATACTTGGCCTCTTGGATACTAAATGTGTAGCATATTCCTGATATCTTAGTGGCTGACAGCTGAGTCAGCCACTGCAAAGGCAGACCCTAGGAAGAGCTATTTTCTTCAGGGTTATAGCTAATATGCTGAGGCTTTGCCAGCTCCCGTAACCTGATATGCATTGAATCTCATTCCTGACAGCCACTAGTGGCTGGGTGGCTGCATGGACCTTGGCGCTGTTACCCATGGTCAGTGCTGATGACTTTTCACCAGCTAATTGTTCGCATCTTACGGTTTGGAGATGATATGTTTTCACCTATTTCTTTTAAATAAAAAAAGGAAGAATATTTCCTCAGAAAAAAAGGAAACTGCTCTCTCTTAAATCGATGAAAAAGGTGCTCAAATGAACTTCTACTAGGGAAAAAACAAATTATAAATATGATATGCCTTTTAACCTACTAATTGACCCCTGTCAACCAGTGTGATAACTGGGAAGCAGATAATGGGCTTGTAAATTATTTCTAACTCAGCAGACTTTTGGCAATATTTGGTAAACATTAAAATGTGCATTCCTCTTACCCAGTAATTACATGACTAGACATTTATTGTACAGAGGAAATATATAGTCCTCTTATTAAATGTATGAAGTTATTCATGGCAACCTTATTTGCAGTAACAAAAGACTGAGCCAAGAATTGGATCATCCAGTGAGTTGTTGAAAAAGGGCTAGCTTCCTGTGAACAAGCAGTTTGTCAACGTGCTATTGTCTATATTGTCAAACTTGTAGAGTAGGGTAACAAATTGCAGAGCACTGTGTGTGGGTATAGAGAAATCAGTGAATGCACACGCTCACCCACAGAGAGAAGCTTCTGCTGTGTGTATGCGTGACATCATGTGTGGCATCATGCGTGGCATCATGCAGGCTCTCAGGGATTGTTGGCACCTAGTGCTTTCTTTGTAGAAAGAAAGGGCGGCAGGGGAGGGGTGTGAGGAAACTTACTTTCCATATATTCTTTTTTAATCTTTTCATTTTCAGTGTCTTACTCCTTCAAAAATAAATACTTTAGACACCACGCAAGGCAGACTATGAATCGGATTCCAGTCTATTATGTTGGGTTTTTCCTAGATGTATGTGAAGAATTATTGTAGTTCACCTCTGGTTTTGCTTTCTAGGACGTTGCTGGCATTAGGATGTCACGTGGGAATATCAGATGAACATGGTGAGGAAAAGGTGAAAAAGATGAAACTACCCAAGAAGTAAGTTGTCTAAGAGTGAGTAGTCTATGTGATGATTTAGTCTGAAAATTCTTGATTGAGACCCACATGTTGTGCTTATACTTAAGCTATAAAATTCGTATTTAATATTATAAAAAATTGCTGTATTGGGGGCTACAGCAAGTTTACGATGAGAGATCACTTTGCACAGAGAGGAAACAGAGCTCAAAGACCATTTGGATCTATCTGTATAATTGTAAAATGCATCCTAATTTTATTTGCTTTTGCATAGAATGTGTTTTAGGGAGAATTATTTTTATTTTAAAGTGAAAATTGAAGCAGTTAGTGGGAGAAGTGGGTTCCTCCCAGTTTTGGGGCTGTGGGTGGGGACTGTCGTGGAGTGTCAGAAGTGTGGGTGGTAGTTGGGGCGTTCAGACTTTTTAGAAACAAAACCAAGAAGTCCGACAGTGGGAGAAATGTGTGCTTTGTCTTTTTCCTCTTTTAATTTCCACATTGAAATCAATTCTTGTACATTTGTGTTTTAGAGCGGGGTTTTTGAATATGCTCCTTTCTGTGGAAATGTCAACCCAGTGTTCATTTTTAGTAGACGTGCTTCCAGCAAAACCTGTTCTAATACCTGTTCCAAGGCACTTGAAGGGCTGATTTGGTTTGAAATCTACAGCTGGCGTCACTGAATTTGGGCATCATTTTTTCATGCTTACTGAGTATCTTTCACACCATGGTGACTTCCCGGCTTCATTTAACTTGATTCATACTAAACCAGCAAACTTGAGAGAGAAGAGAGGCTGGGGGAAAAAAAAAAGGAAGAAGAGGAAAGCCTTGATGCTTGGTGTTCTTGGTGTTTGGCCACGTTTAGTTGCGACACCTGAACTCACTGGTTCTTTCAGTGATATGACACAGAACTTCTTTTTTTTTTCAAGGTTTCATTAGAATATCTGTTTAAGAGAAGTGTGGGGCGGGGGGATGATACCCAAAACTGAATTGCTGCTTAACATGACGATCAGTGGGGAAAAGTGCGATCCACTATTGACATATTTGGTAATTTGATGTAAATGAAGCTAGCTGTGTACTGGCTTTGTTTACTTGTTTGTTTCCAGGAAAAGAGATAAAAAGTGGTAAGAAGGAAGGAAACTCCACAGTCTCTATAGTATTTCTAACCTAATCAATTAAACTTTATCACCTTTTGTATTGTATCAGAATGCTACTACGAACTAATAGTCACTGTCAAACTTGGATAATTTGAAAAGTGAACGTGTTGAATATGGTCATTTAATTCCCTGGATATTCCTCAGAAGTAAAATTTGCAAGGTGACTGTTGGGAAGTCAGGATAGATGTGGGCAGGGTGAAGACCTGGGTCTTGCTTGCTCTGCAGATTTACAACCAAACCGCGGATAATAGAGACAGTGACAGATGACTATTGTATGGTTAAGAGCAGGTGGAGAGAAAGGTGGATTGTGTGTGGAGCGTCACTGGGCATGCCGATCCATGCGGGGGGCGGGAGGCGCCATACTGCCCTTCTGGGGGCTTGGTAATTCAAGAACAGGTACCACGCCTGCTCCTCCAAACCTGCTGGCGTCAGGGAGGAGGCTGCACAGTGACTCCCAGAGCACAGCTCTGAAGCCCTCCAGTGGTCTCGGCGCGGTGCGGTACCTATCAGGATGCGCCATGCCTTCCCTGTGAGCACAGGTGGAGTCTAGCCTGCAGGGAGAGCCAGACCAGATTGCTTTACAGACAAAGCTAACTTTTGTTGGCTGTGGTTGTGACTGTGGTATTTAAAGTAGTCAAAAAAAAAAATGATTTTCTGCCTAGACCATTCTATCCTCCCTATCATGAAGGCCAGAAGGAAGACCCCCCAACAAATGCTTCAGCGAGGACACCTGCGGAGGGAACTCCTGTGTTGTTAGAATGATAGCAAGGACACAGAACAACCCCACTTCAATAACGATGTTTAACTTAAAGAAAAAGACCCCCAACAAGTGCAGCAGAGGGTGCGGAGAGGGAGGAACCCTGCTACGCTGTCGGTGGGAGGCTGGCGCGCCGCTTTGGCAAATGCTCTGAACGCATCCTCAGAACTCAGGATGGTGGCACCATGTAACCCGCGCCCCAGGCCTGGACACCTCCCTGGCAAATATGAGGCCGTTCCCTCAAACCATGGTGTGCTTCACATTTGCCATACCAAGGGCATAAACTTACGTGTACGTCGGTAGACAGCTGGATCAAGAAAATGTGTTGTGTCCACACTACGGACATTACTCAGCCTTGAGGAAAGGCACAGTGTTGCCATGTACAGCAAGATGGAAGGAATTTGGGAAATACGTGTAGCCACGTAATTCAGAAAGACCAAGACAATGGACATTCATATCGAGGATAATTTGGCAAAGCAAGGTAGTTCTAGAAGTTAGTGTACACTAGTAAATGAAGGGAAGTTTCTGAGGTTGAGAGGGAAGGAGAGGGAGAGAGGGTTGAAAGTGTATAAGGCATGGATGTGGGGAAATTAAAAAAAAAATATTGAGCTTTTCCTTCCCAATGTTCCTATTTGTAAAATATAAATCCCATGCGTTTTCTCTACCTAAAAACAAAACTAAAAAATATATTGTTAATTACTCAACCATACAGAGTTCTAATTTAAAATAGAACAAGATTTCATGTCTATAAATATAGCTTCTGTATGTAAATTGAGTGACATAAGGCAGTAATTAGCCATAATTGTTGCAATTGCCAGACCAATCTAATCTACTTCAACAAAACAAAATATTTCCAAAACTTTTTGGTATACATAAATCATTTATAAATTGTGAGATATATTATAATGATAGCGTGTGTATAGGGCTAATTAAGTAAACACAATTTATTCATCATTAGAAACAATCGCTGCAATTCATTGATTCATTGATTCAGTGACTTTCATTGAAAGCCCTACCACAGATGAGCATCGTTCTCGATTCCAGGGATCGCTTGGCAGCCAAGAATTCCCATGTTGAAGAAATTTACCTTGTAATGATGATACTCATAGCCCAGAATAAGTAGAAGGAGAAATGTGACTTGTAGCTTGGTCTTAAGGAACATTTTCTCATGTCGTGATAGTTTAAGTTAACATAATTACTGGTGAATTTTCATTCGTATTGCATCCAAGAAGAATGTTTGAGATGAAGATGCATGTAGCTTTGAATTCACTGGGCTAATAAAAGTAATTCTTTCCAACACTTAGGGCTCAAAGGCTGTTATAGGACTTAGCCTCCAAGCACACTTGGTTTGGAGCACATAGGGGTACAAGAGAAGCAGTTTTAAAAGAGGCTTTGCACCAACTTAGTAGTTAAAGAAAATGAGCAACTCATCGGTCTGTGCTTCTGAGGGAACGGAGTAGTTCCCTCACCCTTATATGTGTGTGATGAGATTTTTATATTTTCAATTTTTTTTGATAGACTTTTTTTTTCTTTATTAAAAAAGTTTATTTTTACATCATTTTGCACATTTTTTTTTCCATCTCAATTGTAATCCCCGCGGGTTTCCCATCACCAAATCACCCCTATGCCACCACCATAGTCCCATGTATTTCCCCCCCCCCGTTTTTGATCCCATTCCCCACTCCACCCCCACAGAATGTCTCTGGTATATGGTTGTTCATTATTTTTGTTATTTTCTCGCCTGGTCCATTATACTCCTGCTATGAGTGAAACCATCCGGTATTTTTCTTTCTCTTTCTGGCTTATCTCACTAAGCATGATCTTTTCCAGCTCCATCCAAGTTGCTGCAAAAGACATGTGTTTCTCTTTTTTGGTTGCTGAGTAATATTCCATTGTATATATGTACCACATCTTTCTAATCCAGTCATCTACTTTTGGGCATTTGGGCTGCTTCCATGTTTTTCCAATTGTAAATAAAGCAGCAATAAACATGGGGGTACAAGTATCATTTTCAATCAGTGTTTTTGTGTCTTTTGGGTAGATACCTAGGAGTGGGATTGCTGGGTCATAGGGAAGCTCCATGTTTAGCAGTTTGAGGAACCTCCAAACAGTTTTCCATAGTGGTTGTACTAGTTTGCATTTATATTTTCAATTTTATATTCTTCCAAAAGACTAAAATTTATGGTCATTTCGTATCTTCTCTCTACAGCAGAGAGTGTAGTGGTAGTTTCTGGCAAGCATGCCCCCAAATCTGGGCCTTAATGGCATTTTAGATGACTGTATACCTGGATTTCCTAGTCTCTATCTTAGAGAATTCCAAAATGATGAAATTATAGATGACAAGCAGGGAGTAATTTATACGTGCATTAACATTTCCCTGTAGAGTAGTGAACTCTACAGGGCTGACAGGTACACAGACTTATGAGTTTAATATTATATTAATATAACATTGAAATGTTGGAGAAAAATGAGAATTTCACGAGAAAAGAAATACATCAAGTTTTCTAATTAGTTGATTACCAATATTTTGATTCTACTACACAAAATCCTCCACTATTAGGTACATAAACTTTCACGAGTCTGTCTCAACTTAACAGGTGTTGGTTTCATTTGTTTAATGGTCATGAAAGTGAAAACAGAGGTTGTGCAGGCTTCCCACCTGCTGTGTTATTAGCTTGGGTGGAAGGGACCCATGTTTGCTAACTAGTGTATGAACTCATGATGGTTGCCACTGTGGTTTCAGGAATTAAAATTAGGTGGGACCATAAAATACGATTATAATACCGAGCTTTTAGGCCCTTTTTCGGACAGACTGACTCTATGTTCCTGCTGTGGCTGTGTAGTTACCAGCTGACGAGTGGATACAAGCCCGCCCCCATGGACCTGAGCTTCATCAAACTCACCCCATCCCAGGAGGCAATGGTGGACAAGCTGGCAGAGAACGCTCACAACGTGTGGGCCCGGGATCGGATCCGCCAGGGCTGGACCTACGGCATCCAGCAGGTGTGTAGACGGCTGGAATCATGCTGGAAACTAGCATCATCTATAGCCGGAGAGGTTGAATAATGTACAACTCCTATAGAGATATGTTTAAAGTAAGGGTTCCCTTTGATTTGATTTTTAGTGGAATATGTTTAAGTGAAGTAATAGTAGAACACCCCATCTGCACCCACCACGTTACCCATAATCCTCCACCACCATCCACTGGCTTCCTTCTCTCTTGTTCTTGACATGCCTCACCCTCTCCCTTCTGGATGCCCCAAGCCTGTAGTCAGTGTTCAAGGGTTTGACTTTAAGCATGTCTTTAACCGACCCTTACTTTGTGTTTTCTATACCCCGCATGTAGACACACCTGGTATTTCTGCTCCTCCTCTGACTTGCACTGAGCTTTTTCCCTCCCAGCTCCACTCAGTGCTACTGTGAATGCCACGGTTGTTTCTGTTTTGGTTGCTGAATAATATTCCAGTGTCTTATCTTTGATCTCTTCACCTGCTTTCTGTAGAATGTTTCCCTAATTTGGCTATTGCAAATAGCATTGCAAGAGATATGGGATGTGAGTTTCCTTTCATATGAAGTGTTTTTGAATTTTGGGGGTGGATGCCTCTGAGCGGGGTTACTGGCTGTGTGATGGACCCATTTGTAAGTTTTGAAATCCCTCCATGTGCTCTCCGTAAGTGCTGGGCCAGCCTGGACTCCCACAGCAGGGAAATTCCCCTTTCTGTCTCTTTCACCAGCACTTGCCGTTCTGCTCCTCCCATACGGCCGTTCTCGGAGGTGTGCAATGGCACCTCACTGTGGCCTTTGCATTTCCCTGGGGATAGTGGTGAGGACCGATTTCCGTGTGCCTATATGTTTTCTGGAGAAGTTCGTGTTGAGTTCTATCCTTTTTCTGATTGAGCTATTTTTCTTCCCTTTGAGTTGCATAAGCCGTTATAGGTCTTGGATATGGGTCTCTTGTCAGATGTGTGATGTGCGAATATTTCCTACTGTTCAGCCAGAAGCGTTTTACTTTAATGTGGTCCCAGCTGTTCTCTTTTGTTTTTTCTTACTGTTGGGGAAAGAATTCCTAAAGATGTTACTGTAGCTTATATCAAGAAGTATTTTGCCTCTGTTTTCTTGTATGTATGTTATGGTTTAAGGTCTCATGTACAAGTCATCCATTTTGAACTGATTGCTCTGTATGGTGTGAGGTAGTGGTCTGGTTTCCTTCTTTGGCCTGCAGCTCTCCAGTTTATTGAACGGTTTTCCTTGGTCCAGTGTATGTTCTTGGTCCCTGTCACAGGTAACTGCCCATGCAGGTGTGGGTTTATCCAGTGCTCCTGACTCTACTCCACTGGTCCATGAATCTGTTTTTGTTCTAGTACCAGGCTGTTTTAATGTACGCATGTACTGAAACACCCGTGTAATGCTAGGATGAAGAAGCCAGTGACTATAGCTGTGTTAACAGTGAGTTACTCTGTGAATTTTATTAGAGCAGTGATTTATAACATGTTTATGTGGCTTTTCACTCTCTGAGATTGTATTAAGGAGAAACGTTGGAAAGAAGACAAGATTGAGATAAAATAATCGTGAGGTTCAGAATTGCAGAATCCATCCACTTTTTGGTCTCACAAAAGGGGATACGAAGATGCATCACATGTGACATAGCATCCTCCTTGGGGCAGCACATCTGTTCAGTACAGTGTAGCATCATGATATCGAGAAGGGGAGTAAGGGCTACAAACAGCCTTGTGTCAGTTCGATCATGTGTTGCTACCAGAATTCTGTTAAACTTCATAAAAGATGAGTTTTTAGAATTTTGAAATCCAGGATCTTTTTAATGATCCTGGGGAATGACAATCCTTGAATATCTATTGAGGCCACATAGCAAAGAGTTTAAGAGCAGATTTTAGCTTTGCTGCACTTGCTTTATTAAGATTTATTTATTTATGTGCACAGAACTGGAATGCAGGCCAGAGGTGCAGGGGTGGTAAGAGGGTTCATCAGAGGCAGAGTGGGGAGCAGAACAGGCTGACCGACAAGTACACTGCTGAAGGAGCAGTGGGGAGACAGGAGAGGTCTGCTGGGCCCTGGGGTCACCTCTGGGGTGGGGATCGAACTCGTGCTGGGGTGGCTGTGGACAGCTTCACCGTGTTGTGTTCTAACTGGTTGCACCACCAGCGAGGGCCCTGTTGGGCTGTTTTGATGACTGTGCAACTTTTTTCTCTCCCTAGGATGTGAAGAACAGAAGAAACCCTCGTCTTGTTCCCTACGCCCTTCTTGATGAGCGCACCAAGAAATCCAACAAGGACAGCCTCCGTGAAGCAGTGCGCACGCTGCTGGGGTTTGGCTACCACCTGGAGGCGCCGGATCAAGACCACGGTGAGTCGGTCTTGCCTTGCCCTGCCGGTTGCGTGACGGTGCAGCACGGTCAGTCCTGAGCAGCACATTTAGATCACACTAGCCCACGTAGGCCTTTTGTTTAGCATTCAATGGCCGATTCACAGATTCAACCCGCTGCAGCTGTTGGTTGATTGACTCCTGGATGTGGAACTACATCTTCACTCAAGGGTCAACTGTAGGTCTTTGCCAAATGCATGAATAAAGGAGACAGTTCAAGATAGAGTTCTTTAGTCTAAGTATTAGTTTAGGAAAGTAACTCAGAGCATGTTCCCCCGAATGACACGTAAAGATGAGACCTGTTTCTCAGCAGAGCAGCCCAGGGCTACAGTGATTCTGCAGGAGGAAGAGTGCTTACCTTCTTGAAGATTCTGAGGCAAACAGTGAACTGTCTGAGGCTGATCACCCTCCCCTACCTGCCCCCCGCCCCCCACCTGAGCTCTCCTTCCAAAGAGCAGGTTTGGTTGTTTATGGGAATAAACCTCTAAGAGTCGCTGGTGTTTTCTAAAGCTTAATTGTTTATATTCATAGGTATAGGCAATATTAATTAGTGCAATAGTTGCTTTAAGGAAAACACATTAGAATAGGCAATCAGTAAATATATGTTGAGTAAATGGATTTTTCAAAGTTCTATAGAGATCATATTTCCCTTAAATAATACCTTTCCAGATTATGGTTTCAAGTGACTGACTCCTGAGTCCTTTGCTACTGTGAATTAAGTGGCATGATAGCAGTACCTAAAGTTGTCAAAAATGGAATTAGTACTGTGTGTTGCACTGTAGTGCTCATATTTTTTGATAAAAATTAAATTAAAAATAATGTTCCCCAAGTATCCTCTGATGGCTAATATTTTCAGTGCAGTATCTTTGCACAGGAATCCAGACATTAAATAGTAATAACTTCTCTATTAGTTACAGGGAATGAGCAAGAGAGATAAATATACCTGTTTATCACATACAACAAATGTTTCTAAGACCTTTAAAGTTATTTAGTTCTCCAGTGGGTACGATGGGGATCTATATGCTATGTTCATTTTACAGAAAACAAAGACTCTGACTTCTCTGGCTTTTCCATTGCTAAGTGGTAGATACATGATTCCAGCCCAGCCCCAGGCATTTTTAATTCAAAATTTACTCCTTTTCGTTAAGTCAGTACATGCTTAACATCTCAACAGCTCTTCTATTTGCTGCAAATAAAATTAGATAGCCACCTAATAATCATAGCCATAGGATAACTCCATGTCTATCTTGAACTCCACTTCATATCAGCAAAAACTTGATAGACTCTTGGGAGCCAGAGGGTAGTAGGCTTGTAAGATACTGAACACACATAGTCCTGTCCTCAAAAATAAAAATTATAATCTACACAACCACGGATGGCAACACACAATAAAAGAATTCTAACCCTAGATGTAATAACTGGAAAGCCCTCTGAAGGGCAGCTATCTTAATTTTGATGGAGTCCGCTTGTGATATTTTTCTTCCCTTTACAATTGTATGTTTTAGGTCCTAAGAAATGCTGGGCTATGCAGGGACAAAGATGTTTGTCTTGTGTTTTCTTCCAAATCTTTTATTATTTTAGCTTTTCTTTTTAGGTCTGTGATAGAGTTTGAATTCATTTTCATGTGTGAAGTGAGATTAAGTTTTTGTTTTGTTCATGGGGTTCTCACGCCGCAGCACTTTTAGCTGGGACGGTTTTCCTTTCCCCATATCTGGGGACCTTCCATTAACCTATGTATCAGTCTTTATGCCAATGTCATACTATACTATTATCCCCCTGTCACAAATCTTAAACTCATGTCAAGCAAGTCATCCAGTTTTCTTCTTTCTGAAGTTTCTCCTGTTTTTTTTTTTTTCCACTTCTAAACAAATTAAAATTATGATGTTTTCAATTCAACTTGTCAACTTGATTTTGGATGGATTACAGTGAAATAGACATGCTAGAGCAGTCTTTTTAGGAATTTATTGACTTTCTGGATCTTTCAAAGTGTTACTTGATCTTAACTATTTACACGCACACCAACACGCACACTTTTTCTCATAGTTAAACTTTCAGACACTCCCCCCCATCACCATTCACGGACTGGTGTGAGGAACAATCATAACTACATAATAGTGGCTACCTCTCATTTATCCTCAGGAAACCGGCACGTGATTGAGGACTGGCACCTTAAGGAGACCCGGTGGCCAGCTAGGCCTCCTGGTTGCCAGGGACACTTTTGACAGCACCGTTGCAGACAGCTCATGCCCTAGAGGGTTTATAAGTTTTTGGTTGGCTTGTTTGCCAAACTTTATTTCCATTTAAAGCAGTTGCATTTTTTTTTAAAAGATTTATTTATTTATTCGTACAGAACTGGGGTACAGGCCAGAGATGCGGAGAGTGGAGGGTAGAGTGAGAGGATTCACCAGAGACAGAGTGGGGAGCAGAACAGGCAGATCGACGAAGTACATTGCTGAGGGGAGCAGCGGGCGGGTCAGGAGAGGTCTGCCGCACCATGTGGATCTCCTCCCGGGCAGGCGGGGATTGAACTCATGCGAAAGTGGCTTTAGCTTCTCTGTGCAGTGCTTTAACCCGCTGTGCCACCAGGGAGGGCCCTAAAGCAGTTGCATTTTTAAAAATTGTCTATCATTACTTTTAACAAGTACCTTCAGGGAAGATGATTTGCGTTGTACAAACTGTGAGTCAGGTCACATAAAGATTTGCAGAAGCTTTCATCTGTACTTTCCAAGGAATTGTCAGAAAGTTAAGATGACGGTTATAGGTGAACGAGCTTTGGAGATTTAACTCTGTTCTGCCCCTCCAGCAGCTTCTGGATTGTGACATTTTCTGTATTATGTGAAGGAGGGCGAACTTTCTTGAGGGAATGGATGGGACTAGCCCAGTTAAAACACTACTAAGCTTGGTGACCTCTAGTGGTTTGGCCATTTTCGTTGAATAAACACGTCCCAGATTGTTGCTAGCTTTTAGTTCATTTCCAAAGCTCTGAAAAATGTTGATTTTGATGATTTTTTTTTTCTGTGTGCTCATTGCTTTTATGGAGAAGAGAATTTTTGGATTTCCTTGTTCTGCCATTTCATTCACACTGCAACAAAGATTCAAAATAGCGGGTTTTTTTTGAGCAGGAACAGAGAGCAGGCTGCAAACAGATAAAAACTTACAGAGAAACATGAATGGCCCGACTGAGGTTGGGTACTGTGAGCCAGCAGAGGTGCCTGTCTGTTGTTTGTGTGTGTGCCCAGCCAGCTCGGCAGAGCCAGTGAGGGGAGTGTGATAGAGCAAAGGGTGTGGAAGGAAGGAAGGATGTCACAGAGCAAGCAGTAAGCTAGGTGCGTGTCTTCATGAGAAATGAGGACACTGGAAGGGAGGAAGGATGACAAGATATCTGTGGTTTCTGTATTTAAAACATTTAGAGATGAAACCATCCATTATTAACTGATGTTTCAGTCTTACTGGTGTTGCATGAACAATGAACAGTAAAGCTGTTATATGTCTCACGGTGGTGCATGCCTGCCTTGTGGGAGGGATTCAGTTCACCTGTATACAAAATCCATGATAAATATTAAATTTCAACTGGAAGACTCGGGGGTGGTGGTGGTGGAATTGTTTCTGACTTACATGTTGAAGGGATCAAGATGTCAGCAAGTAGAGACTGGCATGAATGGGACCTCCAGCCAGGGAGAAGATGCGTCTTACTTAACTAGGCATAGGAAGAGCTCAGGGAAGATTGGAAGCCCAGTGAGGCTAAGCCAGAGGCTGTAGGCGAGGAGAAGATAGTAATGGATGAAGGTGGAAGCCTTAGACAAAATAAGGTCTACCGTAAAAGTGCCTCTGAAAATACGGGCAAGCTTGTGTGAGCAGTTTCCGGCCAGGCAGTTTTAAAGCAAAACCTTGCAGTGTGATCACAGTTTACAGTAGCAACATCACCATGGCAACAGTGGGAAGGAACAGATGGGGGCACAGTGATGGGCGATAGAACGCCTAACTGAGAGAGTTCAGAACCAGGATGGCTAAAACGGGAGAGTTTGTGGAATAAAGCCGAATAAGTCTGGTGATCACTAAGACTTAAACCAGGGATTCGGAACTTGCTACAGTGCTCTCGCGGGCATTAAACAACATTAAGGGCAAGGAAATTTTAATAAACTCTAATCTAATCCTGTGTAATGAATCAGGATTGTGATTTCTTCCCTGTCAAAGAACATAATTTTCCAGATTGAATAGAATTTAGTATTTGAGTTTTACCATCTTTGGAAAGTTAGTCTAAGTAATATATTTTTTAAAGGTTTGATAAAGTAATTCTTATTCATCCAAAGATTTTATCAAGGTTTAGATTGCCTGATTAGAAATTATACCAGGAGATGAAAAGGAGCACCGGTCACTATCAATAACCGTTCAGTTATACGCAAATACCTAGACTTGTACACCCTGTCAGAGAATAACCTTCCTTCCTTCATAGTGAGTTATGATTTGTAATTATGACACATAGTCTGTCCTGCCTGCCCGCTCCTGGGCTCTGTTTAAATGTCTCTGGATTGTTGCGCAGCGTGTGCAGTATCTGAAGTCCTCCTTGGCCTGTTGCTGTGTGTGGCGCTCTGCCGGAGTCCACGGAGGTGTTGGTGTTACAGAACTGTGTCATACGTTGCCCTTAGTATTGAGGTGGTTGTCCAAGGCACAGATCTTGCATTTCTTCTTCATGAGTCGAAGTTCTTCAGCCTTCATTAAGCATATTTGAAATAGATAAGCTAAGTGTTCATTTTTAATATCATCTATCATTATATACTTTATACTATAAAATGGCATTATGGCATAGACAGACGTGAGCTAACATAGCATCTACACGCAGGTGAGTATGACTGATGGCGTGGAGTGGAGTGTGAATGAGTGTGAATGCCAGTGTGTAAAACCAAGTGAAGCATAACAGCTGCATCTGGGCCAAACCTGTGCCTTGGATGGTGGTGCTGCCTGCCAGTTAGTCACCCGGCTCCTCTGTGCTTAACTCAAAGCTTAACTGAACCTTCGCGATGCCAGCTCAGGGGACCCTGGGCCCCCCTGCGACTTCCCGGGCTGACACTCTCGTGACCAGCCCAGCTCCAGGTTCTTTGGGCCGGGGTGGCCTCTCTGGAACCGCCTCATTCCTACAGCTGCACGCTGTATCCTTCACGCCACACTGATCCTGATAGTGAATGCGACTGGCCCTTTTATTTGTCCCCCCAAATCCTAAACATCCCATTTGTACGTGCAGCACATTCGAATGCGGGCGTGAGGGCTGTGTGGGGTGGTGGAGAGTTTCCCCTGAGTCATCCTGTCCGGGAACTCTGGCAGTGGTTACTGCGCCCTGCTTTTACCTCTTTCTCCGCTGCTTTCTTTCTGTCCCCTTCCTTTAATTCCCGGCGGCTTCCTGCCTCTTCTCTCAGCCACCTGCTCATCTCCCCAGAGCAGTAGCATGTTTACTGTCTTTTCCACTCTTGCCTCCCAGCTCATCTCAGGTCGTACCAAATCACCGAGGAGCTGGTAGGTATTTTTTCCCCTGCAGAAAGATAGTTTTTTCCTGAAAAGGGGCTCATGGAGGAGCCACCTCTCCCCCTACAGCCTACTGAGGCTTAACAGCAGCCCTTTCGCAGGCCACTGACCAGGTGGCTCCCTCGGACAGCGGCTGATCCTCTGGATGACCATGCAGAATGGGAGCCAGGGCAGGACACAGGCACTGTATGGCCTCCTGGAGGTCTGCTTCGTGGAGGGACACTCTCGCTCCTTCTTCAGTTTCCGGGCCACCCACTGACCACCATCTCTTTAAATCACAGCTGCCAGAGCTGAAGTGTGTAGCGGCACAGGAGAAAGGTTCCGCATCTTCCGTGCCGAGAAAACCTACGCTGTGAAGGCGGGCAGGTGGTATTTCGAGTTCGAGGCTGTCACCGCAGGGGACATGAGAGTGGGTTGGAGCAGGCCGGGCTGCCAGCCTGACCAGGAGCTTGGCTCAGATGAACGTGCCTTTGCTTTTGATGGCTTCAAGGTGAGTGGACTTGGAGGTGCCCGGCACCATGGTGCGGTGAGCTGTGGGTCCCATGTCAGCAGTGTGGGGTGGGGTCCCGCACTGCCCACCGCATCTCCCGGTCGCCTTTTCGGCAGACAATTATATCCGTATTTTCCAGAGTGCAAACGCACCAAAAGAGGCCTTAGTGCGGTTTTTGATTTGCAGCCTCAAAACATTACCCCTCCTGGAACACACAGTGAAATGCAACAGCTTTTCAAATATCCAAAAAGATGCATCATGGTTGTCTGTCAAAAATGTTAAGAATGCAGCTCAGCAAAAACATATATGCACCTTGGCCGCACTTCCGTAGAGGGCGTCGGGTAGAGGGCGTCCTGTAGAGGGCGTTCTCTTCAAGACAATTCGAGGGCGTCCTGTAGAGGGCGTTCTCTTCAAGACAATTCTTAACTTGGACATATTTAAATAGCCACAGGAGTCTTAAGGCAATGGAATTACAAAAGTTTTATTTTTGACAGTATTGGTCACTTTTCTTTCTGAAGCTGAGTAAAGCTGATCGAGTGATTGTTTTGTTTTTATATAGTCGATAAAGGGTTAAAGCTTATTCCAACTATTTTACAACTTTAAAAGTATGTACCTCTGACACCTGTCTTATTTTTAATTTTCTGACTTAGTTCCATGAATTTTCCTCTTTATATATGAGGGGGGGGAAATGTTATTTTCAGTTTAAGCCATGGGAGTAAGTAAGGACTTATGGAAAAATAATTGTTTTGGAGGAAAAATCTATAGTTTAGAAATCCATATTATATCTTCTAGGGTAACTGACCCACTTTGTGAAACATCACACTTCCTGAATCAGGTTTTTTTTTACTTCAGATGGGAAAACTTATCTTTTGATACCTTAGCTAAATATTTTCTAAAAAATATTTTAACATGTTACACTTGAAAAAAAAAATCCTACCGTTATTTTCTGTTGGTGACTTTGTCTCTGTAGATAAGTTCGTATTAATGGGGTGTTTCAGGGAAAAGTTACAAACAATTATTTGACAGAATATTAATATTACTAATTTTCTACCTATACTTTAGTAGAATACTCTTAAAGAATCAAAAGTCACCTTTATCAAAACGGTTTCAAATGTACTTTTCAGATTTCTTCTGTACATGCAATACAGTGTTGCCATCTAGATCTCAGATATTTAGCAGCTATCTCAAGACTATTTTCAAGCTTCCTCTGAAACATTTTTGGTTTTAGTATTCAGTGAGATGCTTCTACAGTTCTATTGTGTTAAAGTTCCAGTGCTCTCGGTTCCAAGAAACGGCATTTTATTTGGATATTGATGGACATCGAAACAGCTTTCACTGGCCCATTTCTAGCTGGTTCCAGGCCCATCGCCCCGTCTTCTGGGCCCGGCCGTCCCCACTCCCTAGAGTACCTGCATGCAATGTTTCTTTCTTCAGAAGTAGGTGGGAGTAGTGGTGACTCAAAGTCACGACTCAAAGTGGGTGACTCAAAGTCACGACTGGGCGCGTGGGACTTCCTGGGGTCCAGCATCACACCCGAGGGAGCTGAAGCCCCAGCGCCTCCCTGGCTATGCGAGCTGCACCCCGAGGTGCCGGAGGCTCCTCCCCGCATGACAGCCGAAGGCCTGGGGGTGCGGGAGGTGGGTCCCCTCCCGGGTCCTCTGTGCCACTGACTCTCGTTTGCCCAGGCCCAGCGGTGGCACCAAGGCAACGAGCACTACGGGCGCGCCTGGCAGGCGGGCGACGTCGTGGGCTGCATGGTGGACGTGACGGAGCGCGCCATGATGTTCACGCTGAACGGGGAGATCCTGCTGGACGACTCGGGCTCGGAGCTGGCCTTCAAAGACTTCGACGCGGGCGACGGTGAGTGCAGGCTGCTCTGGCGAGACTGACGCCCGCTCCTGCCACGAGCGTGGCTTTGTGAGTGTGAAGAAGGTAAACGGCAGGCGGGAGGAGGCCGCAGATGCTCCACGCCCGCTTGATGTCCCTCAGGGCCCCTGAAGCCTTTCGGCTCAGTTACTCGACAGACATGTAAGGAGAACCTGCGTGTGTCAGACTGCTGGATGCGGAGTGGAGAAAGGGGGATCCAGCTTTGTCCTTTCTGCGTGTGGAGTAGGTGTGGCCGGGCGCCAGCAGGGGCAGCGTCTGTCCAGTGGATGAGTGCTGCAGTAAAGACGTGCGGAAGCCTCCATGAAGATACTGTACTGGGCCTCCCTGGGGTGCAGCTGGTCACAGCGCAGCACCGTGAAGCTGTCCACAGCCCCTGCAGCACGAGTCCGTCCCCGGCCAGGGAGCACGGCAGGTCCCCCGTCTCCCTGCTGCTCCCTTCAGCAGTGGGTTTCAGTCCATCTGCCTGTTCTGCTCCCCACTCTGTCTCTGGGGCATCCTCTCACCCCCTTCACCTCTGGGCCGTACCCCAGTTCTATATAAATAAATAATTTTTTAAAATAAATTACCAACAATGGAAGATACTATACTATTTTTTTTTTAAGTTTTATGTATTTATACACACAGAACTGGGGTACAGGCTAGAGGTGCAGGGGGTGAGAGGACTCACCAGAGACAGAGTGGGGAGCAGGAAAGGCCGACTGAGGAAGCACACTGCTGATGGGAGCAACGGGCGGGTCAGGAGAGGTGTGCTGCACCCTGGGGGTCACCCCCTGGCTGGGGATTGAACTTTTGCCACAGTGTCTGGCCATAGCATGACAGCACTGAGACTTTAACCCTTGAGCCCCCAGGAGGCCCTGAAATAGTATCTTCATCAGTATAAATTGTTTCTCGATCACACTGAGTCTTTGAAGGATTGATGGGATCATCTCGCTGCCTCATCGATGGCAGGGGATCCACAGCCATTTGCTTAGTTCCATGAGGCCAGGGTCCTTGTATCAAGATGAGGGAAGGGCCTTTCTAGAAAGTCAGATTTCTTCCCTAAATAGGGGCTGCGATGTCCCTTAGTAACCACAGACCTTAATATTTATATGTTAACTGGACGAGAAAAGAAACAGCTGAGATGCACTGATCTTGGTAGAAGAGACTCTGTTCCCACCCGGCTCCCCCAGAGGGTGTTCGTGGCCAAGAAAAATAATTCTTGAGCTGCTAGAGTGGAACTTTCAGAACGTAAAAGCTATTTTTGTCTTTGTCGCAAATACCCTTTTAGGATTCTCTTCCATTTGGCTTTTTGTTGTTATTGTTTAAATCTCTTCAGACTTTGTCTAGTTAAAACAAATAGATTAAATGAGTCTTTGTTTCCCAAAGCTTCCTCTGGCTCTAGTGACAGCCAGCCAACATGTCAGGAAAGTGCAACAGCAACCCCTGCAAGCTTTTCTGTGGATTTTCCTGGTCTCTGCTCACCATGGACAGATAACCACTGAGGAAGGGGGTCTGGGAAGGAGGCGGCGAGGGGCTGCAGGCCCTGGCCAGAGGCAGCATTGTGAGGGGCTTCCACTCCCTTCCACTCCGACAGGACACACCTGGTGTGACCAACTCCTCTAACTGTAGGCAGAGCTGGGGCTACGAGGGGGTGATTTGTGTGATTAGGTTACTGTTAGTCACCCCTGAGCTCCTCAAATGCAGGTCAGCCATCTATGTGATCTAATCACATGAGCCCTCAAGAGTGATGAGTCATGTCCTGAGGCCCAGAGCCATAGCATCAGCTAAAAATCAACAAGATTGTGGAACAGAGTGCTGTGGTGTGGAGCAGGTCACCTGGCGGGATCCATGGGGGATCGCCAGGGGCCGAGAACAGCTTCTGACTGAAAACTGGCCAGAGAGTGGAGGCTTCCATCCTACAACACAACAATTGGGACTCTTGTGTAAGGACCAGCGCTCAGATCCGGCACAGCTGCAGCCAATAGCTTGATTTTCTCCTCGTGAGACTTACTGCGAGAAGCCAGCCACGCTCCACCTGGGCTTCTCACTCAGAGAACTCAGATCATGAGTGTTTTAAACAGACAAGTTCAACTAGATATGGAGAATAATACCCTGGGGAAGGGGCTTTTATTTTGGCTCATCTGCAGCGTTAGCCTTTGTAAGACTGTTACGTCCACACATAGCACCTGTCTACTCAGAATAAAGAACAGACGCTCTGTCTTGTCAACAGGGCTGGCTCAAGCTTTCTTCTTCAGAAATCTTTTTGTAAGTATGCATGCACACACACACATGCCCACGTATAGCTAACAGATGAGAGTCATTCTTAGCACAAGCTATGTTGCCTGTAATGTAGCTGAAGTTGTAACACTTCAGATTTTACTCAGAGAGGTCTGATAGTCAAGATACCATACCAACGCCATAGCAAGAAACTGCAAGTGATTTTTCCTAACTCATCATGGTCCAGTTTATTAACTAGAGTCAGAGATTTTTGTATGTTGAGTTTGGAACTAAAGCTTAAACAAATTAGCAATAATTTTTACATGGATCACCCCTCAAGGTACTAATTTAGGTGTCTGGTGGAGGTGATTCTTACTGCGTTATCAGGTAGGGAGGGGAATCAGGGTTAGCTGAAATGGAAATAATTACAGTTTCTCACTTGCTTTAATAGCCAATGTAATTATGTCTGTGAGTACTATCTGTGGCAATAAAAAATAAAGCATTTTGATGATGTTAAACTACACCCTCTCAGGCATGGCACAGACACAGAGGCAGGCTAGTTTCTGCAGGATTTAGAGGTGCCATCTTCATAACATCGTTTAGTACTTTAGTGACCACAGTATGTTTCTGTGCTAAAACATAGTTTAAGCCTGTCCTATGTCACTGTTCAAACGTTTAAGAGGATAAGAAAAAGAAATGGGAACTGGTAAGATCTAGAATAAAGGGACTACCATTACTTGCAGATAGAATATGTGTTATGTAAAGAAGACACTGAAGTGTGTATGTGCACAACTAGAAATGATTGAAGCTATCAGTGAGGTATCATTTCCAGACTAGCAGTAAACCCAGAAAGTAAAATTAAAGAGAGGACGCTATTTATAGTAATATCAAGTAGTTTCAGCTAAACTTTTACAGCGGATCTAAGTTCCCTTTGAGTGAAAATTATTCAACTTTATCGAGAGGTTATTAACTTACAGAATCCTGATGAGGAGATGTAACATATGTTGTGAACTGAACTTGATGAGGACACAAAGGATGTGTGAAGGGAAAGGGGTCATTGTCTTCAGAGCTGGTGTTGGGAAGAATTCACACGCACTTGCAAAGAATGGTTGAACCTTGCTCCAACTTCAGACAGCACACAAAAGTCAACTCAAAATGAATTAACGCCTTAACAGTAAGACCCCAATCAACAAAACTCCAAGAAGAAAACAGGGGAAAGTTTGTGGTTCACATATCATCTAGCCTAGTTAGCCAGCTAAAGAAGAATGTCAGCATTTGACTCCCAGATATCAGCTAGGAATGAGTCACAGTTTTTATTTGCTCTGTGTTGTCTTTTCTAACTTATTAAGGATAATTTATTCCTTAAAGAAAGCTCATGGCAATTTCCACAGATGATTGCTAATTATCACTAATTTCAGGAGGAAAAATATGTATGTATGCTCAAGCTACCCCATGTATAAACTTATTTATACGAAGCGCCGAATTCCCCTGAAGTCACGTTAGTAGTTTACGTGACTAGACCCTAGCTCCGTAAGGCGTCCCCCCTTTATTTGCTCTTTGATTTGGCGGGTACTTTCTCTACTCCCTCTTCACTGTCACATAGTATAAACTTCAGGTTCCATCACGAAATACAAATATTATAGTCCAAATTTAGGTAACTAAGCTTTAATTTGAGAAAAGGAAGACAAAACAGTAATAGTCAAACTCAAAATGCAACAGAAAAGACAAAGGAACAGGAGTGAAAATAGGCGGATGCTGTCATTTACCTCACACCTTGATGTCTAGAGGACGTGGCGCAGAGAATTTCCTCTGACACTCACCTTGTCCTCCACATTTCTCCGAAAGAGCCACCTAGGGCAGGAGCTGATGCGCGCCACTGTGACGGTGACTGTACTTTCACGTTCGCTGAGGGTTTGCGCTCTAAAGGGACGGAGTCTCAGCTCGTCCTCCTTAGAAGCCTTGTTGAAATATCGAGTGCAATTCCGTGTAGAGCAAAAGCCACACCCCAATCCAGGAGCCCCGTGCGGGGCCTTCAGTCTTTTACTTTGGGGGTGTTTGGTGGTGAGTCCAGCAGTCCCTGGGCCGGGCACTTCTCCACGCCTCTGGTCAGGGGCTGGACTCGTCGCACTGAATCCCCACGTTGAAGCCGGAGGGGACTGCAGTTGGGCCTTTCAAAAGGCAGAAGAGGCTAGAGGAGACTGTGAGGGTGGCGGCGAGCCCAGACTGGCTGGGTCTGCACACAGTGAAGGAGCCCCAGGGACGTGAGTGCCAGGTGAGGGCGCACAGACAGCCGACTGCCAGGGGAGACCTCGGGGAAACCGAGCCGCTGACCCCTTGACCGGAATGTCCTGTCTCCAGAGCCATCACAGTAAATTCTTTGACTGAAGACAATCAGCCTGTTGTAGTCTTTTAAAACAGGAAATAGTTTCTATTTTTTTTGTCCTTTAAAAAATTATATATATATACATACATACACACATATATATATAATTATATACACATATATAATTTTATATATATATATATTTGCATCATTCTTCATTATGTACATTCTTGTGGGTTTTTTTTTTTAAGATTTATTTATTATGCATACAGAACTGGGGTATAAGCCAGAGGTGCAGGGGCGGTAACAGGATTCACCAGAGACAGAGTAGGGAGCAGGACAGGCAGGTCGATGAAGTACACTGCTGAGGGAGCAGCGGGTGAGTCAGGAGAGGTCTGCCATGCCCTGTGGGTCACATCCGGGGCAGGGAATCGAACTCGCACTGAAGCAACTG